CTGAGCACGGAATTATATTGATGTACTTTATACTGTGAAGCAAACCGTGAAAGCCTATATAAAATCTGTGCTAGTTATGTCGTGGTAGTATAGGCCTTAAAAAGTCATTTTCAGTAGTTTTACTGTTGTTGATAGCTTATTCAAATGTAACACCGCACGGGCTATACTTGGCATGGTAGAACACATTATTTGGGGTACAATTTGGTATAAGCTTACTAAATAAGCACGATTAAATTTTTTGCAGTGGCTAACAAAATTTCACGAGCCCGTAGTGCGAGTACAATTTGTGGTCTTTGAAAAACTTACAAGTGCTTATTTATTCAAAATTGCACAAGAGTAATCACGTGGTTACTTGTTAATAATGCACTTAAAAATATACTAGAAGTCTTTCTAGACATTGTTTCCTTAGACAGGCTGCACTCTGCTTGGTATTCCAAATATCTTCAAAAATTTCCAAAAATGTTTACAAAAATTTCGTCAAAGTTTGAAAGTCTTCAGCAAGTTTCAGGTGAACTTCAGAAATCCTTGGAAAGGTTCAGGTCCAGGGTGTTCAAATCTTCAAAAATGATTGGCCAGGTGATATTCATTGCTCTTCAAAAGGGTTCAGGTAATCTTTGGAAGTACTCAGATAATGTCAAATTACCTTTGGTTATCTTCAGAAGGCTTTGGTTGAACTTTAACCACCCTCAAAATACCTTGGATAACTGTTGGCTGTCATATCAGATGTCTTCATATTAACCTCAGATATATTTGTAGTAATTTGCACTGTTGTTACAAATTTGCACAGGCCTATGTTTCAAATTTGCACTTGTGTTACTAGAAAACTGGACTACTTTTTATCCAGTGAGAATCAAGTAATTATAATTTCAGGTGTATTATTAATCATGAAACACAGCTAGATCTGTTACAAAAGTAGTGATTCAGGGCTATGCACAGCATCACTTTTATACATTTCTCATGTGAAAAAAACCACATCTTTGTTTTTCTCAGAAACTCAATGATAGACAACATGAGAGAAATTGAGAAGTGTAAAGCACATGTTCAAGATGTGGAGGTTCCCTTAGAAGTATTTGAGTAAGTAAATGAATATGAAATTTTGAGAAAATACCTGTAAAGGGTGTCACAATTTATTCTGGGGAAAAGAAGGGTAATTTTTGCCTATAAGAGGTACTAGTGGATTCTTTGGGAGGCACACTCTAACTGAAAAGTACTGCAATGGTTTGTGAGTAACTTTGAAAGTATGTAATGGAACACTCTTTGCACCACAAGAACTTCATTTTCAACCTGTAATAGGTGTGTGACAAATATCCTAGGCTTGTAAATGCCATTTGCAGTTGCAACCCAATCTCCTTGGGGTCTGCACACAGGTTGTGGAGACTGATGCCAACCTAAAAAATCAAAATCCAGGTGATTGCCAATTTTACCAGCTTGACCATGAAAAAAAGTTGTTTAAAGTAGAGCTCCCCTGATTCAACCACAAAAATGCATGAAACTACATGTAAAAACAAATGATAAAATCCAATGTTTCAGAGTAGTCGTGACTCCATTATCAAGGCAAAATATATGTTAGATCATGGAGTCATGACTACTAGGAAATGTCAGATTTTATCGTCTGTTTTTACCGTTTTATGTTTTGAGAAATCTCTTTTAATATGAAACTACATGTATCAAAAAGTTGCCCAGAAAAATTGTATTCGGGTGATCTGTATGGGAGACTAGGAGAATGTTGCTTCTCCCTTGTTAAGAAAGCTTGGTCAGCCATTCTCTATAGAAATATTTTGTTAGGCTTACTGGTGTGTATCAATAAATATGGCTGAGATTGGTGCTGCAGAGTAAAGTTTGCTACTTTTGAAGTTCTGTTTCCTCATATTGTGTTAACATAATGGTTTTTTGTATACAGGTACATAGATCAGGGAAGAAACCCTCAGTTATATACAAAAGACTGCATTGAGAAGGCACTTGAAAAAAATCAGCAAGTAAATGGAAAAATAGATGCTTACAAGGTAAGGTACACAAAGTAAACACAACATTCTGTAGTAAAGTAGTGAAGTCTGAGTTCCCTGTTATAAGACCAAGCAAATTTATGGCTCAAACAGAAAAATAAGCAGAAATATCTTGTTTACTGATTGCTTACTGATTGCTTTGCAGCTTAACTATTCTGTTAACAACCTTTTTTTTTTATTCAAGTTCACCTGACTAAAATACTTAGATACATAATTTTTTTATTAGGCAGGGAGACCACAAAATATAAGTAATGGTGTTGTTAATGGTACTGGAATTAATTGTGTTATCTTTACACAAGCAATATTTGAATGTTTTTTCTTTCACTTTGCAGAATTTCAAGTCACTCTTGGTGGAAGAACTGTCAAAACATTTTCCCAAGGAAATCGACGAATATCAGAAGATCAAAGAAAGGCAGTTAAAGACGTAATAGAAAATAAGATTTTATTTTTGTCAGAAAGTAGTTGTAATTTGTAAATATGTAAATAAAAGGCCTATGAATCAGAGATCAGCTTTGATTGGTATTTGGAGTTTATCAAACTCCTTTGATAAAACTGTGTACTTTCTAGTAACACTGAGGGTGATGTATGGTTTATTACTAAGGGGGTAATTAATTTTTAATCCTTAACAATAATATTTTGCCCAGCACCTTTTGATATAACCCAACTGAAGGATAGAGGTTTTTGACAGAAAGCTCAAAGTAGAAAAAAGTGACCAGGATATACAGATTTGGTTTTCGTTCCAGAATTTCTGCTAGTTCACATTACGGAAATTCAACATTTTTCAGATTTTCCGGAACCTTTCCCAGGAAATTTGCCCCGTTTTGAAAGTTCGGAATTTTTAGTGCAATGAAAAGCGCCCTCTTATTTTGGAGACATCGAAAAAGATGTACTTTCAGAAGTCAGCACCAGCGAAAATTGATGGAAACTGACTTGTTTCCCAGTTTACTATTTGAAAACTGTGTTTGCTAAACAGCCAAACCAAGGTGGCCATTTCGATGAACTCCTCCATCCACTTGTTGTAAAGCGCTGATGATCTTTTTGTTGCAAATAGCGCCATATAAGAAATACATGATTAACGAATCATTATGAGAACTAATTTTGTAGTGGTACTTGTGATACATTGTCAATTAAAACAGAAGCAAGAGGAAATCAGGGAAACAGAAACTATTTCCAAAGACATTTGAAATGTCACGCAGGCAGTACACCGACTTTCCCTCCGGAATAGTCAAAATGATGAACTCGACTGATACGACCAGTCTGTCTGGCTCCAGCTGCAAAACTCGATAGACGTTTTCTCAAAAAGGATTCAATCATAAGAAATACTGTGAATGCTTTGTTTGTATTTAACTGCATTACGTAACGTATACACCATGCGTGATGGCTCGTGATAAACTGGAATAAAGCCGTTTGCCGCATTCGAAATGGGAAAAAACGTTCGAGTTTTCCTCTTTACATTCCTCATTGATTTCAGGGTTTTTAGAAACCTCACTTGTGTCGGACTTACCTTGTACACTGACAAAGATAACGTTTTGTTTGCAGTGCAAGCTTTCTTGCTGGATTTTCAAAGTAAGTCATTGCACAAAAATGTAAACGAAACATTTCGAGATACACAGCATTCTTTAGATAGATTCTTTATACAAACAACTTTATTTGACAATGAAGATTTTCAGAAATTGGCAAGACTAAGTCCTGATGTGGACCTGCCCAACTACAACTACTTTACTAATATTAGATGCCTAAGAATAGAGAGCTTGTAATCTACATTTGTACAAGGACGTGCCTATACATTAAGATCTCGTAGATTACTTCTAGTGATTCAATGATTAAATGTTAAAATGAATAAATGCTAAGTAAATAAGTACATCACAAACTAGTAAATAGAATAAATTTTTCCAAATATATAAAGTCTTTACACTTTGTAGTTACAGTACAAGAACATCGAATTTAAAAGATGCCTATTTGCTTGAGCCTGTTCTTAAATGACATGATCCGGTAGAAGGTTGCATGTTTAAGCAGCCCCGTGCTTGAAAGTAGACCTTCCAGCTTCAGATCGTGGTCTAGAAACCTCTTATTTCAGAGCGTTCATGAAGCTATAACTTGCTTCTGTCTTTGTTGTCTTTGTTCTATCTTAGCATAGCATTTTCACGTACACGTCGTACACGTCGTACACGGTATGAATTTTAATGTGATATATAATGAAGTGTCAAAGGCCACACCTATCATTTTAGCGTCAGAGGCTGTTGTACCTAGGNCTGGGAGTGCAGAAAACATCTGTGCTATGAAACTTCTTTTGAAAACCAAAATATACTGATAAAATGACTTTTCACCGCATTACCCGCCACTTCTTTACAGCTAGTTGCGAGAAAGTCGCTTGGGCTATTCACGCATCGCGCGAGTAACATATAATAATAATAAGTCGTCCATTAGCTTAAAAATAAATCTGATCCGGTGTGGCCTGCATCTTCCTTTTTACTGGTGTCACGTATTTTGTAACGACTCCAATTATCATTGGTTACGAGTACAGTAGTGCACCCGCAGCCTTTTACAAATGGGTCCCCAAATTGACAGTGATTTCGACTTTTATTGATTTTATTCATGTCTTTTTTTGCACTTTTTATATTTTTTATCCCATTAACATTTTTTACGCAGCCCCATAAGCTATATTAGCTTTAAAACCCACCGTGTTTAAATAAAAGACGTTGCTGTTGTTGTTGTTGTTGTTGTTGATTCTTTAGTTACTTTGTACTGTAGTATAACTGACTTGAATGTTATCTTAAAGAAGCGGAATAAACGCTATGACGAGATTTATATTATTTCTCTACAAATTAGTCTACGTTGCCAAACTTTGCCAGCCTACGCTTCGGTTGGTTGTGGGTTAGCGCTGGTGTCAAACTTAACGTCTGAAAAATGTCATTTGTAAGTCCATCACCCTAACAGAGTTGTGACCGTTGTGTTGTGTCTTAGAAAAGACACTTAACCCTCAAGGTATCTCTTTCCCACAAGTGCGTAAATGTTTACTTACGACTATCCGACACTGAAAAATACAGGTTGTGATCGATGCTAGGGAAGTAAAATATACAACTAGTTCGTTCTCGCTCACAAAAACTACATGGAAACATACAAGAGGTCCTTGGCTTCTCTGTTCTCGTCTGGATCAGAAGAAGAATTCATTGCAACGAAGACCTTTCCAGTGTACAAGAAAATAGAAAATGCGCAACTGGGAGCTTTCCAATATTTCCAAACGTACTTGAGTGTTTCTGTAAGACTGTATAAACATAAAGCGACCAGTACAGTTTTAGTGCCATTGATTAAAGACCTCACAAACTAAGGTCAAACATAAACATCAATCAACAATTTACACTTAACAGTTGGACTGGCCTGCAGATAGCTAGTGCTAGTCTAGGCGGGCCAGTCTATCAACATATAGTTACAAATCTAACATTGGCCTCTCATCCCGCATATGATACAAAAAACTCTTTTACGGTAACTTTTGCAAGCTTTGCTGTATCAGCATTAACATTTCTGTTGTCATGAAGCTTTCTAGAACCTCTAATTTCATTGGATCTTGTTAGCACGAAGCTCTATTGTTTTAGGGCTAGGATCCATTGTTATTTTTGTTTGCATATCATTTTCTCAGCCAACTCTGTGAGACGTTCCGAAGATCTTCATGGCGACCCTAACGTTTTCACAATTTTGATATAGTACAAGAGAGCTTATTACTCACGTCTTGTACGCGTAGATTTGGAAACTTCAGTTTTGACCGAGTTGGAGAAAACACTCCGGTCGGCAGTGTTTCTTGTTCATGTTTCCTAATATGTTCTTCCACGTTCTTGCATAACAACATTTTCCGTTCTTTTGTATCATACAAATATAATACAAGTGACTGTTTAGGTCAATGACGTTTCCACAGCTGTTTTGACTTTTCTAAATCTCACAAGAGTTTCGCTAATTCTATAATTAAGCAATAAAGGACTTTTCCGTGTTAACATAGCCTCGCGTAAACGCGAGGGAGCCTCGGAGAATTGAAGAGAGTTGTACAAAGCCCCGACTGTCTCTAAGCAGTTTCCCTTTTCGAAAAGGGAAACTGCTGAGTTGTCGACAACTAACACTCTTATGGGGAAGACCTTCATGCTTGTACACATATATTCGCCTACCCCATCACCCCATAAACGCCAACCGCAAGCAAACGATAGTAAATAAAAGCAAACTGCAGGGCGACTTTATGGGTGGCCTACCACGAATTATATGCCCTCTATAATAATGTGTGGAATGCTCACATCGGACACAATTAGTTGTCGATAACATTTAGTTGCCGACAACTAAATTTGTAGTCTGTGGAGGCCCTTATCCTCTTTCAGAAATGTGAAATATCATTTTCCGTGCGTGTTAGATTTAATCCTGAAATCGACTGCATCTTTCAGACCTTTCTCAGTTACCCAGATGTCACTTCCGTTTTGGTAAACGTTTCAGAACAGTAGATCTCGAACCACCATTTGAAAAAATAGACAAGACCCGGAAAGGGAAGGGTTTCAAAGAGGGTTGGGCTACCGTGAAACATTGGAACTATCCTTTAACTCAGGTAGTCGCCCTTAATTTACCGGAGACTATTTCTTTCGTAACAAAAATTTGATCACAAAATGTAACTGCACATTTTTAGTTCATGTTTATTTATCGCTGGCAAACAGTAACATTAACATATGTATATCACGCAGGTTTAACAAACACACTAAGGCCCTGACCACACTACGCCGCGGAAATTTGAAAACGCAGCTTAGACCTAACATTCACACTAATCCGTCACGAAAACGGAGCTTTATTTCTCCAGTTAGGCTACCATCCACACTAATCAGTCACGAAAACGCAGCTTTATTTCTCCGGTTAGGCTACCATCCACACTAATCAGTCACGAAAACGCAGCTTTATTTCTACGATTAGGCCCACCATGCACACTAATCCGTCAGGAAAATGGAGCTTTTCGAAAACGCTCTTCAAACCGGAAGAATTTATAAACATCGGCTTTGCGTTTAAGTGTGGACGGAAAACATTTTGAAAACGGAGCGTTTCGAAAACGATGACGTCACGACAATCACGTGATTTCCCTTCCTCAAACACAAATCCAGAATACAAACTACCTGCAGTTATGTTCTTCAAACAACCCTTAACTGACAGTTGAATGTATCTTCAATATTTTCGTACAACTAACAGATTTAAACGGTGCTCGTGAGGTTTGCAGACTGTTAGTCAACTTGAACCATTTCAGTGCGTGATCGGCATGTTAATTCTCCTAACTGATTTCTTACATTTTCTACAACCCTCCTTGAGGAAAATTGGTTTTCAAGTAAACATTCCTAAGATGATCAGCTTGATCATTCTCATAACCCGCCTGGTTGAATTGATTATAAACAGGCAAGGAGAAGCTAGCAGCTGATTAGCACTGGGAACTAAACGGTTAGAATGATTTTTATTGTACATCTGACTCCAGCACACTAGCACTACAAACAATCATATGTCTGTACACCAAACTAAAATATTATTTACAGTTCAAACACACGAGCACCAATTCTTGCTATTTATATCTGTGAATTTTACAAATGAAAGTCCTTTGCATTATTTTACTCCACATTACGATACACTACTGTTCATCTGGAACATCATGATCTGTCAATTCGTAAACCCAAGTGTTACTTGCAAAGCTATTCTCGTTCCCGAAGCCACCTGTCTCCCTTAACCGGCGGGGCCTTGGCACGAGGAAAAAGTGGCTCTTGAGACACGTGATACAATTGTCGGATAAGATCTCTGCATCTACTGTATTGACTGATAACAGAATCTACCGCATAAATCTACAGTATAAATCAACGGCAACAATAAAAAGAAAATTACCAGGACAATAACTCACAAATTGCTAAGCAACTGAGCGTGCCATGATGGCATGACAACTTTCGAAGCATTCACTACTTGCTGATTCCACGATGAAAATCACAAACTTAACGAATACTTTAACGAAGAATTACACGGAAACGGGACTTGTTGAGTTCCTATACTGCACTGAATCGAGAGGTGAACAAAACCACAAGGCTAGTCAGTTGAGTAACGTGAAGAACGTTGAACTAAACTAATTTCATTTATGATTTTCAGGTCTCTTTATTTCAAATTGGAACTTTTTATGATGAATCTAACCGTTGGACACAGCTTCCCATTTGATCTCTTACTTATCAGCATATGCGTAACCTCGTTGTTCTAATTCAGCCTCTGTGCGCAGTCGATAGCTACCGTTATCCTCGAGGGCCTATCGAAGAAAAGAAAATTGGCAAACACAAGCAATTAGAACTGACTAACGTATTCAGCATGAATGAGTTGTTTTGTGACTACAAAGCCAACGCTTAGTCAAATTCCTTTCCTGCTGGAAAACCCAGAGGCTTTTCTTTGGCCTCGAATACATTTGTGTCTTAACGATAGCCCATAAAACGAACGAAATGCACCTCTGATAGCACAAGATATGACAACTGCCCGTGAGGTTTCTTCGATGTTTCTATTGCATGACCCGGGTACATGAAGTATCCTTTGGTGTGTGATATTTTTTAGCGTGTGTTGAGAAACAAGCGTGAACCAATCATGGAACGCATTTCGAACCTCCACTATGACGAGTGACGATGTCAATTCCATCAACGACCAAGGAGAGACTGGGACGAGCTGACGCCAAGGATGGACGCACGTTTTTAAGTTCGCTCGCTCGAGAGGCAAAATGCTTGAAAATGTAGGGGATAGTTGAATATGANGATATTTTTTAGCGTGTGTCGAGAAACAAGCGTGAACCAATCATGGAACGCATTTTGAACCTTTACTGTGATGACTGACGATGTCAATTCCATCAACGACCAAATGCTTTCGACGAACGAAGACAATCTTCAATAAAAGAGCTTTCACCTTCTAACTTCCGTGAGTGATTTCTTAAAGGTGTAAAATTCCTGCCGACTCTTGTAGCTCACCTAGCTGCAGGCCGAATACTTCGATCTTACGCCTACACACGCCTTCAGACAAATTAATCACGGCCAAGTGAAAAGTTTGAGCTATCACAGTCTTAATCATATCTATAACAAAATTCTCGATAGTGATTGGTTCTCCGGGCGCCTATTTGACACGTAATTGGTGATCACATGAGTGTCAAATTACAGGTATCCAATTTGAACTTTTTGTAACTGGATTCCTACGCCATTCGCACGTCAATTACGCGAGCTTTAATGGCTTCCTTCTGAATGTTTCCTACAGTTTTTAAACTTATGAAAAGCGCTACAAACCTTTCCGCCCAAAAGAAGTTCTCAAAAGACATTTTTAATTCCGAGATTTGCTATAGATACGATCAATTAGTAATTGAACCTCGAATCTTACAATTGAAGGAGTAATCGTGCACGTAATTTCAAAACGGCCTCGCACTTCGCGCTCGTCCGATTTTAAACTTCCTCCTGCGATTACTCCCTTTATTATACATTGAACTCACTATCTCTTTGCTGATTGACCGAAAGCGTACAGTGAATTTTCGAAATCAGCGTCTGCGACGTCATCAAGCTGCGGATTATACAATAGTCATGTCAAGGACACTCAAGGTCACTGGTAATCATGTCATGTATGACCGTGGTGCATGATTTCTAAGGGAAATCATGTGAAGTTCGCGCTTAGTGTTGTTTGCCGTCAGTGAAGAAGCAAAAACATGACTTCCAGTGTTTTTTTGTTCAATGTATAATAAAACAATTATTAGACTCGGTTTTTGTGATATCCAGAATAATCAAGGTCTCTGTAAGAGTTATCAGCCTCCGCCTTCGGCTTCGGCTGATAAGACTTATCTCGACCTTGATTATTCTGGATATCACAAAAAATCTCATCCAATAATTGTTTAGAATTGTACGACACGAGGTCCAGTTACTATATAGGTCCATGTAAAATGACGGTACACCTTTCCAAATTCTCAGTTTTTGCAAGGAAATGTGTGCTGGCGACAGCGTTCTGTTTGGCGGATGGTACCAGGAAAATGCAACATCGGACATTTTCAGAACGTCCTCGGAAATGTTCGGATACGTATGGGTCTTATTTGAAATTTTTGGCAGGCCCAGGTTGAATTTCTTAAGCCGGTGACTCGGTCACTATTTTCTCTATAACTGCCACATCAAAGTGGCCCATCTGTTTGAAACGAGACAAATCATTGTAGATTACCATTCTCAATCTCGGAAATCCGGAAAGCCTCTTCAGGGATTCAATTAGCCCTATTAGCCCTCTTCGCGGAGGTGAAAACACCTGTCATTGGCCAAACAACAAAAACAACGACAACAAACCTTTATTCACTAAAACATGTGCGAAAGTTGCGGCGATTTTATAGGGNAAGACCCAAGACCTAAGACCCCTTCTGAGTCAAAAACTAAGAAGTAAGAACCCCTCCGAATCTCAGCTCAAAAACTAAGACTTAAGACCCTCTCCGAATCTCAAAAAGTAAAACCTAAGACTCCCTCTGATTCTAAAAAACCGTACTAAGACCTGAGTTTGCTTTTACAACTTAAATCAACAATATGTGTACTTTTTGTAGCCCAAAATCGTTAGCAGAACAATGGCTGTGCACGTGCGTTATTAATCTTTGTACATTTCTTAGCCGTCATCTGCAAAACTACGACTGGAAATGATTAAGTTTTGCGTATTTTGGAGAACGCGAACGCGTAGGCTAATTTTTCTTTTTTTCATTTGGAATTGAACGCTGGCGTTACATATTTAGCTTGAGCAAGACGCACTGAACAGATCCAGACAACTGCGAAATTCCAAGGTAAATTCGCCGTCTTTCGAGACATGTGACGTCATCATTTTACTAATTCTACTGAAAATTTAGTTTCATCAAATGTAAGCCCCCCTAATAACTTCGCGTTTTTACAACGTTTAAAGCTCGACAGCGTTCTTCATTTTGTGACAGAGCGCGTTTGAATTTCCATATGCGGTGCGTGACATCTATCATATCCCAGATTCTTGGTTACGCTATTTTTGATGGCGTGACTGCCTTATTGACCGTAAAGGCCTGGGAGAAATCCATACTTGTTCTGAATCGTCTCCTGGCTAAGATGGATCCTTCTGCCACAGAAAAAGAAGATTCATATCTCACTGCAATGGACGCATATGGAGAGAAAGCACCAATAATGAAAACGATGACAGACTTTGTGCAAGAAGTCGCTACTCACGTGATGGCCAATATCACAAAAGATGGCATCCCTGTGTTTCGTGTTCTTGGAGTTGGCAGTGGGCAAGGACAAAGTGACCTCAGAATTCTAACTGGTATTGCAACAGCGATGGGATCATCCCAGACAAAGAGACCAACCATTCATTCTGTTATCATTGAACCAAACGATACAATGATGGCAGAGTTTCAGACATCTGTGTCATCTTCAGCACAGCCTCTCACAAGTTTGGCCGATGCGTCGTTCGAATGGCACTTAATGAGCTTCGAGAAGTTCACCGAGTCTTTTTCCCAAATCGGGAGTTTCCACATGGTTCATTTTGTTGCATCTCTGTACTACATGGATGCCGAAACATCTCTTAAAATCAGTTATCAATGGCTTGCTCGCGGTGGAGCAATGTTTTGTACAGTCGGACCAGAAGAGTCGTTTTTCCCAAAACTATCAAGAAAGCTCTACGGAAAAGTAGATTTGGGCTCCATTCACAAATTTTACACCGAAGTAGATCTTGTTAATATTGCCGTGAGGAATAACTGGAAGTATGAGGAACTGTGGAGAACGAACTACAGTGTAGACATAAGCAGCTGTTTTGATGAGTCATCAGAAGAAGGCAGCCTTCTACTCGACTTCTTGACCCATAAGCAAGATTTTCGAGCCACTGCCGATGAAGCCTTTTACAACGAGGTCGTGGATTTTTTGAATGAACAATCTATCAGCGATGATAATGGGAGAAAATTAATTAAGCCAGAAATTACTGCAGTTGTAATTTACAAATAATCATGCTACTGGTCTGCTATTATATGAGAACCAAACAATGTTTATTTTGGCATTTTATTTATTTGTCGGCAGAGCAGCTCCTTTAATGACTCTGAACTTGAAACAATCTCCAACAAATTTGAGTCGATTCAGGAATTAATACAGTTGAACCTCAGGTCGCAACCACCTCTCATTAGCGACCACCTCTCCTCAGTGACCACTTTTAGAGCTAAAAGTCTGAATTTTCTTTTGTTTTTAACCTCTCATAAGTGACCATTTGACAGATAATCATATCTATGATGAAATTCTCAATTGTGATTGGTTCTGCGCACGCCTATTTGTCATGTAATTGGCATGTGATCACGTGGGTGTCCAATTACAGGTGTTTTTGCTCAAAAGAAGTTCTCAAAAGACATTACTTTTTAATTCTGAAATCTGTTGCAGACCGCTCAACCTCAAAACACTGAAAATCTGGAGACTGATGTAAAAAAATCTGATTAATTTGATCGACCGGCAGACAAAACCAAGTAAACACAGGTTCTAATTAAGAGAAAGTGTCTTTTTCCTGCTTAAAACACTTGAAGCGTGTGAACCTTAACAACACAGCATCATTATCAGCAATTTTTGTCATTTTGAAAACATGATCAAAATGCCAGAGACTGGTAATGATGACCTAATTTGGAACAGGTCTTCTATATATGGTCATGGACTGTGTTTCCAGCGAACAGATGGATGAAGAACTGAACAGGTTTGTTAAGTTTAACTATGGACTTGCACAGAATTGGTGCCAGAAACTCACCTAAGCAAGCCAAAAATGAAATTATACACACGTTATCCTTTCAGCTTGTGCCTCTATTTATCGCGAGATTTGTCTGTCTTGTCGTGAGACCATGAGATTGAAATGAAAACCGCAAGTCTCACGACAAAATCGTGGGACTTGAAAGGTGTGTTGTTGTAGATATGATTAATTAATAAAATTGAACCTCATGTCGTACAATTCAAGGCATAGTCATGCACACAATTTCAAATCAGCCTTGCACTCATCAGATTTTGAAATTACTTGCCCGATTAGTCCACTGACAGTCCAATTACTATTACTAATAGTGCAAAAATTGGATGTTAAGATGTTATAACATTACATTCCTGGATAGTTCAAGAGACGTAAATTTATCTATGCAAGGTACCAGATTTTTTCTCAAAATTGACTTTTCACATGAATAAAACATTTAAAACATGGCGTAAGTCTTTGCAGTTACCTTATGCTAATGATGCAAAATTTTGACCCAATATTGTCTAAGCCCTCGTAAGCAACCACCTCCCGTGCGCAACCACCAAGGATTGACATTTTGGGTGGTCGCTAACGGGAGGTTCCACTGTAGCATAAAATATGTTTCAAAACTTAAGTTAAAGCAAAAAAGATAGAGGCAACAACTTAGGATTCCAAAAGTTCTGTTATAGGCAAAAAGGCATGCAAGAATTAACAGAATTTTTTTAAAACTTTGCTAAGTTGTATTTTATGTGCTTATCACAATCGTATTTCACTGAGCCATTTTCTGAATCATAAGCATTTCAAGCAAAAATTAAGGGTGTTTTTAAAAGGTTGTATTGTTGCTATGGTAACACATGCCATGATGATGACCACAACTTGTTCAACAATGATTGGATGTTCATGCGATACTTTTATTGTAGCATCGCTTGATATGGTGTGGCAAAGTTGATCCATCAAAGTACATGTATAACTGCAGAAAATGCTGGACACTGTTGATAGGAAACCTTCAAGATGAACCTCTTTGGGTCATTAAGTTTCATCACAAAAAACAGCAAAAATAAGACAAAATAAATGCAATTTTAAAATGGTGTTTATTCCCCTTGAACAATCCAGTTCACCTACGGACTGCAAAATTATTTATTTAACCAGTATCCATTTCGAAGTAAGAAATATTAAATAACTGCTCATAGAAGATATCGCAAGGAAATTACTTCAATTTCCTTACAAACTTGTACAAAACAATATTTCAAGTTCATGAGTGGTGGAATCTTGCTCTCAGTCTCACGTTCATCTTGTTTGAATCAAATAAAGAATGAATCCTGGCTGATTACACCAGAAATATACTGCATTGTGGAATGTGAATGGTAAATAATGTTGTCTTTCACAGCATTTGTTTTAGGGTAACTGCCCTGAACTCAAAGTTGGTTATTTTTACCAACTTTTCCTTGGTTACACATGCCCGAGTATCAATATTATTTTATTAGAGTCTCCTTGGAGACAATTTGACAGTTCCCTTTGATGCAAGTCTTTGGAAGCATACAGTACATGACTTCCACGGCCACTTTTCTTGCACCAGTTCACACCTTGGATGCTCTTGATCATTTATAGTGTACTTCAATCCACATTCTCTCTCGAGCAACCTCTTGGCTTATTTAAAAACAATGAATAATTTAAAATTACGATGAAGCACAAGATCAGCTGGAGGGTGATTTTGATGATGATCCTTCACAGAATGCCTGTGGAAATATGGTAGCATGCTCAAGTCCATGCTTAGCTTGTTCAAGTTCTGTGTTTAACCTGCTTGTTGCTTGCTCAAATTCAGAATTGAGCCGACTTGTTGCTTGTTCAATATTGGTAGCCAAGTCTTGCACCTCTTTGTTAATTTTAGTAATAACCATCTCCATAGCTTGTCTTCCCTGAAATGAAAGTAAAGTTCCATTATCACTCAGGTAATTTATATTCACTTAAATGCTATTCTTTTGTTGCAGAATAATGCTATTCATAATGAAAACCCTGGTAAAAGTGATCAGTGGTAAATACTGTCCTGTCCTGTGCCAGATTCTTGTCGAAGAAAAACATGGAAATGTGTTGGAATATTCAAAGAGAATTGTGCGGATGAAAAGAATAGTTGAACCTTACCTTTGAAGCATTGTTGACCATTGTGTTCTTGATGAGGCTTTCACAATAGTCTTTGAAGCTGATTCCAAAAACTTTGATAACTGTATCTTGATCAAGTCTGGTCCTAAAATGAATAGCATCCACCGTAAAATAAACCAATACTGAATCCTGCATGGAATTCACTTTCTTCATCACAGAAAAATATTGTTGAGATTACAGTGACCTAAAATGGTTCTTCCACCAGCCTTCAGTGGTATTAAATCAGGGCTGTAGGTTTGTTTAAAGGGGAAGAATGTTTCTTTCTGACTTTATTAGTGTGCATGCAGCAAAGAGTTCCCCTATCTCATTAGAAAAACAATCAATACCAACTCACTTGTCAATGTCCTGGTGTTGAGAGTAAGTCATTGTCTCATCTACATCCACCCAGCCTGACAGCGTTACATTCCGACTTTGCATTGTCATAGTCTTTTTCACTGGATCAACAACAGAATGTTCATAGGCATATCCAAGGTTACTGACTCCAATCATGTTACAGACCCACGAGGGTAAAAACCCCTCAGAGCCCACGAGTCGCGTTGTATGTAATCTTCCTTGTTCATCCACATGTCTATCCAAAACATCCATTGTCTTTACATTTGGATTAAGGTCATTTGGATATTTACGCCACACTGCTTGTGTAACTCGCTCCCAGCAGTGACTGAAAGAGAACAACGATAATAAGTATGTAGAACTTTTACCTTACAGAAACACAAGATGGGTAAATTCACCATATTATTTTTGCTTTAGTTACTACTGTGCAATAGTCAGGGGTTTAACAGATCTAACTGTTCTATGGATCAAATGTTGCCTCAGGGCTCGAGACTAACTTTTCAGCTTGCTAGCCCAGTGGCTAGTGACAGGTTTGATTCACTGGCCAAAACAAATTTTTCACTAGCCAGATGCAGACACTTGCAAACGTAGGCATCGATGTTATAATTATAGGCGTCACTCAACAACGAAACCCGAAGTTTTTGCTTCCCTAACAGATTCCCACAGAACTTCCCAACTCGCTGCCAAAAAAACATTCCTTTCTTTCAAAATGCCTCNTCCAGGTTATTCCACACGCCCTGCAGTCATCATCTGATGTTCCTGTCCTGTTGCTAAATCAGCCTATTAAAATACTTCAGGGGACATACTTGCTTCCATTCCATCTCACTGTTCTCAAATATGTGATAAAATTCATCCAGACTAGAAGTAAAAGAGGTAAATGAGGCAAAAATGAGGCAATAATGAGTCAGAGAATGTGAAACAATTTAGAACAAAGAAGATATGGTTTCAATTAAGATTTATTTATGAAATATCATGAAATATTATTGAATGCAGTTACTGCATAACATTGCCATAAGGATTGCAACAGTATGTAAAGAATTCAAATTTGCTGCCAAGCACAGTGCAGGGTTCATACTGGGCAGAGGTTTGGCCACTTACCAGTATTAGAGAGGTTAAGCATGACGTTTACGGAAAACGGAAAAATTTTGAACTAATTTGCCATCTTTCTTCAGCTCAGTTTGTACAATAGAGTGAAAATATTTGTATAATTTCAGGATGAATAGATGTAGGAAATGTTTTCTATTTTTGTGATCAGAGGTAATTTTTTGCCGTTTGCTCTAAACATCAGGCTTAACCTCTCTATCAAGAACAAGGGGTACATATATCACCACAATTCCCCTGGAGAGCATTTTGTCACTGACTTTTTATGCACAATAGTCCAGTACTCATTTTACCACAATCTTGAGTGGAGGACAAAAGGTATGATGACTAGTAGAATGGGGTATTACATTTATACATCCTTTAAGTAATTCTGCATAATTCTAGAAATGCAGTTAGCTCATGAAATATAACAAACTCCAGTCAAGTGGTTTTTAAATATTGATATCAATTCTTTTCAATATAAATTACCTAAGTTGCCTTCTTCCACTTGTATCTAATGACTTGAAAATAAGATATTTCTCCACGAGAGCTAATAAAAAAGAGGAAGCTCGTAACCAATAAGTCTGTCTAAATTAACAGGCCTCTTTAGGAGTGAAAAAAATGCTTACAGTCTATTTCTCAAGACAATATATTTTTGAGGAGCAAAAACCATGGAGGTTAACTTTGTTGAATTTAAATCACCACACAATACGTCCAGGTAAGGCTGGGGTTGAGAGAGTCTTTATTACAACAAAATAAATTTTGATTACAGAACTACGTTTGCAGCATTTAAAATAGACCGGTCATAAAAACAATTTCACTCAGAAACAACATATGGAACCGTAAATAAAAACTACTACATGGACAAGCATCAGTAACCCAACGCAATGACAAGATTAGAAAGGTTTGAAACAAGAAAAAGACAAAAAGGCTGTCCATAATTTAATAACTGCATAGAAAGATTTTACAAATGCTTCTGTTGGTAGCTACTAAAATTATGCAAGTGAACTGAAATGCTGAGAACTACATTATATACTTTAGGTATGTGAATGTACTTTCACTGATGGCTAGTAAATAGTTGCTGATTGCACAAACACTGTGACCCTGCCAGTAAAGGGTTCAGAACCACCTTAAATTTTCAAACATTTAAGGTGGTTCTGCACACTCTTAACAGAATGTGTTTAAACTTTGTAAAAAGTTGTATGTAAATTATCATGCTCATCACAATATGATTATAAAAAATTAATGGGGGTAACCAAGCTCGTTTTTGAGTTATAAGTGCTTAAAGCTAAAATTAAGAGTGTTTTTAACAGGTTGTATTGTTGCTATGGTAACCTAAATTATATAAAAGGGATGACTGCAACTTGTTTACCAATGATTGGGCATTTGTGTGATACCATTATTGAAGCATCACTTGTTAAACAGTGGTAGTATTCATCCTTCAATGTTAGCTGTTAGAAAAGTGATGGAAATTGTTGCCAGCCTCCTCAAGTGATAGTGTAATATTGGTCACACAAATATGGTAACAGTACTCACTACTTTTGGGTTTGTAAAATGACATCAAGTCAATAAAGTTATTTAATGAGATCCAGTGTTCAAGTGGAGGCTGTGGAACAAATATACAGTCACAATAATTTATTAGCGTAATAATTATTATATTAATATTAAAGATTACTTTAATTTAAATAGCTAATTAAGTAACATTCTGACTACCCCTACTATAGATGAATTCTGGTTTCCAAAAATATATTTTTAAAAATTGATACATCTGATTTCGGAATTGTTCAGTTAATTTGTGATGATTAAAAGAAATCCTTTCTTGACTTACTCACAACCTCAGCTGAATGATTGACCAATCAACTTAAAAACCAACTGATTGACCAACCAACTTAGAAACTGCAGACTCAGATTAAGGATTGGTAAATTAATACATACTGTTTAGAAGAAAAAGAGATGGAAAGAAATTTACATCTAGCTTCAGTTATCAATGACTTACGTTTTCAGAACAGAGTAGCCTGTAAGCCTGCCTAACAGCGTGCCTTAATTGGAGCAAAAAAACACACTGAATCAGATGGTACTATCAGACTATGCAACATTATAATGAATTTATCAAAGATATGAACAGGAAAGTTGAACAGATCAGAAGTCTTAAAGCCTCTGATGATATCGTAGCTTGGTTGAGTGATTCAAGATGATTTTTGTTTTGAACATAATGAACTCTAGCAATAATGCAAGCCAGTAAGTGACCACCTGTCCTGAGGTAGAGATGTGTTTATGTTTTAAGTACATGCTTGCTTGCATGCTTGAGTGTTTTGCTACATGTATACATGACTTTCTTACCTTTTGTGAAGAAAAAGCTGGCGAAACTTATTCTTTTCAATGTTGGTAAATGTGTCATACACCACAGCCAAAAGCTGCCACAAGAGTAGAAAAATATAACAAGTTAAACCATACGTATATATTATATATACATGTAAACAATAGAGTGTTTCTGTTGAGGGCTTTGATAGGCTGTATTAGTCTGATTTTTGCGCACAGAAATTCTGTGCTCTAAAAATATAAATTATGCATCTTTTGTGGCGGAGTTTCTTGTATATATCATCTTGACAATTACCTTAAATTTGCCTCACTTGAACGTTTGTATGTATTTGGATGTAAGTAAATTTTACATAATCAACATTTTGATACAAAAATTTGCGAGGGAAACTCAAAATTTCATTCATATCTGAAACTTCAAAATCCATTTTGATACAGACGGAAAAACTACTTGTGCAGAATTTCAGGCACGAAAGAAAATCGAAAACTTTCGTTGTTTCTTCTGCCAAGTGTAGCATTTACTGAGTAAACCGTTAACATTAAATTAGAAACTCCAAAAAAAGAAAAAAAGAAAAAAAAAAAAAGCAGTGGCTCACAAAAATAGGCTGGCGCTTCACGGCTGATGGCTCCGTCTTGCATGCTCTAGGCTCACACATTAGTTACACTTGTAAATTTGTATTTCAATTTTGTAACTTTTCAGTGACGTTTTCTCTTTACATTTTTCGTTCGTCATTTTTGGCTTTGACCAATGTCAAACTCCAGGAAACATGGACAGTGAAAACACTTTTATTCAAGGGAAGTTAGAACTTTGATTAACTTTTAATCCTGGATTAGCATCAATTGGCTTTCGAACAACCGGGCCCTGAAGCTGTTTTCGACCTTTATGGGCATCATCAGTATTGACAAGTAGACAGTGAGAAACGTTGCACCATGTCTTTATTCTGTGGAATATTGTTGAGGTATAAATATTGTAACAAGTCATAGTAAAGTGTAGATGTTCAAATCGTGGGCTGAATAATATACGTTGCAGTGATAATGTTTTGTCGACTTTCCTTGTGGTGATGCGGTGTTCGTTAATTTTTTTATCATGTTGCAGTGTTCAGAGCAACCCCATGTCCCCCTCCTAAAATTGTTAAATGGTTTTAAATAGAAGGCATGTAAGCTTACCAAATTCATGAGGAAGTAAAGGACAACTGAAATGTAAACAGCAAAATATACGACAGCCCATTGTAACCTCCAATAAGATGGCATCATCACATCAGGATAGCTGCAGATCGAGTAAGAAATTAAGAGCTTCAGAAAAAAATGACTATTTAGCCATATCCAACTCTTAGCTGCTGTCTGCTTGAAGGATATTCTTCAACAGGCAGTTTTCAAATGCATCACATATAATTTTTGGATTGTTTTGCTCGTTTTAGTGTTACAACGTACAGGACTTCAGAAAAAGCTCCTCACAGCGTAACAATATAATGTTAAGCATGTGGATTAGTCACCTACTTTGCTGTGGTGAGTAAGACAAACAAGCTGATAAAGCTCCTCCAAAAACTGCTGAAAAACTAAGAAACAATGGCAAATTAAAACGAGTTGTTGATAAACACTTCATTTTTACAAATCAAATTTCTTAATGAAATGATCACAAAACTGGTGAGGCAATCTCAGATAGTGCAGAGTGCAATTTACAGCTCTGATACAGTAGTCACAAAGGTCCCCACCCCTGCTGTTCTCTCCCTTGGTATTCAACAAGGCCTTTTCCCCTTTGGAGAATTATATTACCACAGTGTTTTACTTTGAGTTTCATTCCTATTGAATTCAATACTATGTAAAAGAAGAAAATGTGACAATTTTACTTCTCACGCCAGCATTTGTAACTTGATACTTTTGTTTCCCTTGCCAAGGTATACAACATGATACCCTTGTTACCTTGGAAATATAAGAATAGAATGATGTGTATTTTTTTACTCACTGCTGGAAATAAATGGAATAAAGTTAAATATCTCGTGAAAATTCAAACGGGAACGATGTTGCTTTATCCAAAACGCACATTTTCATTTCACCGATAAACATGAACTAATCTAATAATCAATTGGTCACGTCGAGTCACGGAATAGTGCATTCTTATTCTGGTCAAACTAATACACAAATGCTATCAATAATGGCGAAGTTTCTTCTGTCACAAATTTACTAGTTTTACTTGTATCTAACTGGGGAAAGTTTCGGCTGAATATGATCTTTTTGCTCCCCTCATAGCAGAGGAAATAACCAAGCTGCTAAGGAGAGGCAATATGTCTCCATTCTTTATTTGAACCCTGGCAAACACACAATAGTTATAAAACAGCAGACAAAATTTCTTGAACCGAGCTAGGGGTGATTCCAGAAGATATGCAGTCACAGTAGCATTCTTTGCACTAAAAAAGGGATAACTGATGTTACCTGAAATATAGCTGCTGCCCCTGGTTAAAACGAGAGCATGGTAATCCCCCCACGCAGATGGAGTTTATCACACTTCCAATGCTAGAACGCATGCATCTCACATGTGTTCTTGCTACCACAAGGAAAAAGCACTCTACGCTTGTGTGTCATCCCATATGAAATGTATCTTTTAACAAACATATAGTCGACACTGACGCTAACTAATCTGTGCGTGCATTTCGAGCAAATTGCCTTTGTTCCTAAGATAACCGCACCACAAAGATAGCATGAGATTTGCGATAACATATATACCGTTTTGTCACGTTTTCAGATACAAAACATAAGTATAACACGTTTTGCATAATGCACGTGTGTATCTACCCCAGCCAGCCCCTGCTTCCCGCATTAGGTAAACAAGGTAAATGAACAATTAAGTTTACACCTTATGGCATTAGTGCCATAGCAAACAGCTGCCCCCTCAACCATCCCAATACTGCACTCTGCACTAATAAAATGAAATGTTGTTAGAGGACATAATATTATGCATCTCAGCTTCCATTATTTCTAAATTCCAAATCTTTAAGATTGTTATTTTGAATGGGAAGTTAAGGCTAAGTAAAAAATTGTATCATTAAGTCTATTACTTAGGAAACATTGGACTATTCTGATTTAAGTGACCTATGTTGCATAATAAAGACTCTGAAGAAGATGTTCTAAGATTTGCTATAATTGCTTTGTAGGATTTGATCCACTTCTGCTCTTCTGTATACTTCACAGTAATTTATTTTTAATCTTCAGCATAAACTTCAGTGTTATGTTTATTGTCGCCTGTCCCCTTAAGGTAGGGAAAAGGAGAGTTAACAGAGGGATGGCTGGGGAGTTTGTTGTTGGTTCTTGCTGTGCTCTGAGGGTTTTTCTCTTTTTCTCTAGGTTGTCTAGTTTTCCTCCCTCCACAAAAACCAACACTCCAGATTCCAATTCAACCAGGATTGAGTACCTGCATGAAGCCAGGTAATGCTGATCAATGTGGCTTCCTCTCTATTAATTAAAATTGTGATTTCTCTTTTATATTTTATGATCGTTCAATTTATCTTTGGCTTTAAACTACTTAAACCATTGTCACAATGTTAATCAAAAAATTAAGTTATCAGCATGGTACGCTGTACTGTAATACAAAACCCAATGTATATATACACATGACGTGCCAATGCAAGTGCATGTTCAATGACATATTACATGCTTTACAATTGGATGTTCATTACTGCAGTGAAGTTTTAACAAGTACAGTTTACCTCATCTTTTTCATTGTCAGAAAACAGGTAAAAACCTACAAATAAACATAAACGTTTAACTGCATAAACAAGAATATAAACTACTGGTATGTCAATTAACTGGGGTGTATGGGTGCGTGTGGTAGTACCTCTGCAGGAGGGGCAGTAACACTCTTCCCAGAGTGCCTGAACTGCACTGGTCCACATACGACACCCAGCTCTGACGTATGGCTCCCAGAAGTTGCAGACAAGGCAACGCCACACCCCAGGCAATGGTGTTGACCCACCGGCTGAACTACGTCAGGGTAGCCAGCTCAGCTCGGAGATTGGCTGGTGATAGGAAACGGCAGATAGGGCTCTCTAGCCATGGGAAGCAGCCCATCTAGGAGATGGAAAACTCCAAGCCAAACCCCAGGGAGTAGTACCTGTAAGCCTAACAAGGCAACTACCTAGGGGAAGGAAAATCCCAGTAACACACCAACCATCTCCAATGGAGTTGGTCGTACGGCTAATTACCCTATGCCATAAAAAAACCTGATTACGGAAACCAGAGACTTGTTGAGGACAAACTATACTGGATCAAACAAGGCAACTTGCCAAACTCCAGGTGACAACTTTATCACGTGGGAATGAAGGAAACGGGTGAAATCTGCAAAGAAGCTCATAGACCGAGAGGATTGTTGGCTAATCCCAAAATTATGTATAGGATTCAGGATGCTGGAATCTGAGGACCATGTATAGCATTGGCAAAACAGCTGAAGTAACATCAGAGATGCAACAATATAGGATCAGCATCGTGGGATTTAGCGAGTGCAGGTGGGCTGGGTTTGGCAGGCTCAGAACTCAGACCGGAGAGACCATCCTCTACTCGGGTAGGGAAGGTGACGTTCACCAAACTGGAGTAGCAATTGTGATGACCAGGTATGCCAGTGGATGTCTGGAGAGTTGGACACCTGTCAGCGACCATATCATTACAGTTAGATTCTACTCTAAATACATAGTCAACTACAGTACAAGTGTACGCTCCAACATAGGATGCAGAAGATAAGGCAAAGGACACCTACAGTACAAGTGTACGCTCTAACAAAGGATGCAGAAAACGAGGCAAAGGAGACCGTTTACAATCAATTGCAGAAGACATTGGATGCGATTCCCAGACACGACATGCTCTTGGTAATGAGGGACTGGAACGCTAGGGTGGGAGAGAGTCAGGATTCCTGTTTCTCTCAGTGGTTGACTGGGTGATGAGGAGGACAGTCAAACATGCAGGAACAGGCATCACAACTACGTTAGAGGACTTAGACTTTGCAGACAGCTTGGCACCAATCTCAAGTACATTCACACACATTCAGACGAAGAATGACCAGCTGAATAGAAACGGGAAGGGAATGGGCCTGAAAATAAGCACCAAGAAAACCAAACTCATGTCAGAGGATCAATGCAAAGAACAACAATGCAGTTGTAGTAGATGGAAAGGAAATAGACGACGTGGACGGCTTTGATTATGTGTGACCAGAGTGACCAAACATGGAGGGGTTGAGGATGACATCAAGAGCCACTTGGGAAAAGCTACAGCAGCATTTAACAAACTAGCCAAGATCTGGAGAAGTGGTCAACTGAGCAAAAACACCAAGATCAGGATCTTCAAGTCCAGCATCATAGCAGCGCTACTCTATGGATGCAAGACTTGGAAAATGACCAAGAGGGATGAGTTAAAGCTAGACACATTCCTCCACAAGTGTCTAAGGAGGTTGTTAAAGATATATTGGCCGATGAGGGTTACCAACGAAGAAGTGAGGGAAAGAGCTAGGACTTACACCATCAGTAAGCGTATTAGGAGATGGAGGTGGCATTGGATAGGGCATGCATTGCGCATGGACCACCAACAAAACCCACAAATTGCCCTAACCTGGGCATCCGAGGGTAAGAGGAGCAGAAGTCGACCTAAGGACACATGGAGAACTGTAGAGGGAGAGAGGGAGAGGATGGGTTTTGCCACAGTTTGGAATGAAGCTGTTGCCACTGCGAGAGACAGAGCAGATTGGAGGAGACAAGTCAATGGCCCTATTCTCCAAGAGGAGAGCTTGAGGACTGATAACGATGTCAATTAACCACTTCTAAAATGCATACATGTATGTATAACTGAAGACAGATCAGAGTAAAACTAATTTCACAGCACTGATTATTTTAAAAGGATTTTTAGCTTATGAAAAATTGTCAACTACTTTGTTATAATTATAGCTATTACTTACCAAGCATTGCAAAGATTACCATGACAAAGAACAACAGGAACAGCATGTCCAAGATTGGTGGAAGTGAGAGCAGAATTTGTCTGAGAACTCTGTAAAGAAAT